TAACGAAGCCAACGTGAGCGATCAATAAATTGCACTTGAAGGTATCGCTTGTCGAACAATGTTACTTCCCGATATTATCATTATCATTACCATTATCATTATCATTACCATTATCATTATCGTTATCATTATCATTATCGTTATAATTATCATTATCATTACCATTATCATTAAAATTATCATTACCATTACCATTATCATTAAAATTATCATTACCATTACCATTACCATTGTCATTGTCATTGTCATTATCATTATCATTGTCATTATCATTACCATTATCATTATCATTATCATTGTCATTGTCATTATCATTATCATTGTCATTATCATTACGATTATCGTTATCATTATCATTACCATTATCATTACCATTACCATTATCATTGTCATTGTCATTGTCATTATTATTATTATTATTATTATTATTATTGTTGTTGTTGTTATTATTATTATTATTATTATTATTATTATTAACACGATTGTGTTGCGCGTTCGTTTGGGGAATTACTTAAGATTACTTTGATGCTTTAATGGAACTTGAATTTAACGAAGAGACGGCTCGGGATTCTTTAAGCGCAACGATAAATTTCAATCTCTAATCTTCATCATTCATTCCACACGTGTATTCTCGGTTTTCAATGTTTAAAAAAAAAAAAAAGTTAAATTAATGGTCGAGTAAAAGTGACGTTAGTAGAAATGAATCTTGGTGTTCGTTGTACCAAAACGCGAGCGTTTCACGCTTTGGGTATGTTTCTTCTCGCAACGATAAATGTAAATTGGCGCGAATTAGCAAGTCTGTATGAAAGAATGTTTTTCTGCGTAAACCTCCATGCTCGTTGTCTGAACAGCTTTGCAATTCATATTTGCCGCGCGTTGAAATTCACCTCATTGAGAACCGGATGACCGCAATGGCGCATACAACATTCCTAACATTAACGCTACGGGCAGCGCATAACATTCCGAAAATTATACGCTGAGAAGTTCGTTTTTAACATTACTCTTTCGTTTTCCTTTTTAATATGATACACTTGCAGTACACTTGACAGCAAATGCCAAGAACGAAATAACAGGTGTTGGCGAATAAATTTTCCTCCTTGTCTTCCGAACGAATAGCGCCCCTGCTCGAGCATCGAAATGCTCACTGCGAGATCGATCAGGGGATTCAGGCGGGCAGAATGAGGCGAATGTATCGAACCGTTTCTTTTTGGCTTTATTAACCATATGCATATCCAAGAACGATTACAACGATCTGTTCGTTCGTAATTTCTACCCTGTTACATTGTCAATTATTGCGTCGCTTAATTCGTGCACGATATACATATATACATACATATATATATATATATACACACACACACACACACACACATATATATATATATATATATA